CCTTACGTTCTCTAGCGTTGCACCTGTTCCTTTCACTGCCTAATACTGCCACGCCACGCCTAATACTGCTACCTAATATCTTTAATTTAATTGTTTTAGCATTAGTTGTAGAGCTGCAGCTTGTGTAGTTTATTGCCTCTACAGGAATTTCTTAGAGTACTAGGGAGCTCTAGCGCTGCTTCTGCCTCTGCCTCTGCCTCTCTATCACCGCAAACATTAATGTAGTACATGTAATACCTTAACAAGCTGTTTTACTTGCACAACTGCTAGTTTAGCTTATTTAACTACTGTTTAAATATAATAGGCTAATGCCTAGAGGTGTTAGTAAGAGATTACCTAGCAGTGTTAGGAAATGCATAAAGTAAATTGCAGCAAATTGTAGCAAACTACAGCAAATTGCAGCAAACTATAGCAAATTGCAGCAAACTACAGCAAATTGCGGCAAACTATAGTAAATTGCAGCAAACTACAGCAAATTGCAGCAAACTATAGCAAATTGCAGCAAACTACAGTAGATTACAGCAGCAGGCAACAATCCCTAGTAGATATTAGTTGTGTTGCAAGTAGCTCTACGTATAAAGAGGGTTCTAACTAGGGGGGTAATGCCTCTAGAAAAAAAGCCTTACAAAGGGCAGCAATAATTGTATATAAGCTAGTGTTAGCGTAATAGGAAATTACTAAGCTTTAAGCAGCTAATAAGGCAGCTACATTTAGAAAGGCCTACGCTTAACAGCTTAAAATAAGTTTAAAGCGCGCAGTAATAGAAAAAAAGGCAAAGAAGTAGGTGTAAGCTACAGTAGATAAGCGATCCTAAAGGCGCTGCAGACAGTGCAATTAGACTAGGCATAACGCGCAAACGTGTAAGCAAGAAGTAGAAGTAGTATCTAAATAATATTCTAGGCTGTACTATACTCTTGTTAGATAAAAGCACTGTTTCTAGGCTTCCTAAGATGAATAATAGGTTTTGGATATGATGTAAGGACGGGGCTCCGCACCACTCCGCCAATACAACCAAAAGGTACGAATAATCAACCAACGTTGATTTTCGGGTGCAGAATAGTATATATACCTGTCGCACGTAAGCGCCATCTCGGCCTTACATATGATGTATAAGATGATGATTGATTGTATTAATTAATCAATGTTTCTTTTCCTTTCTTCGTCTGCTCCGCTCGTGTTGCTCGGCTTTGTTTTTCCGGTCCGAGTCCCTCGCGCACTAGCCCTATGCGCGACCAGCCGCAACATGCTGCAATTTGTTGCAAAATGCTGCAATTTGTTGCAAAATGCTGCAATTTGTTGCAAAATGCTGCAACATGCTGCAATTTGCAGCAACATACTGTTCAAGCTTATTGCTCGTACTATGTAGCAGCTTTCGTCCAGCGTTCCTCCTGTCTTGACAGTAGGTGCGCATATCTGACAACTCTATAGTGCTAGAGTGGGTTGTTATGGGCCATAATAAAGTTTGTTGTGGTGTGGTCTTGGCAAAAGTGAGCAACTCAGGT